AAAGGTCCAGACAATTGCATGGACCTCACCGTCGTCTTTGGTCACGACTTCTTGGCGCACAGCTACTATTGGACGACACTCGTGAACCACAATTCCCATCTTCGGAAACAAGTCACGGCAATGCTTGTACACAAAGAAGGGCTTTCCATTCCAGCTTTCACGCCCTTCAAATATGTATTTGACGGCGCCGCCGCCGCCACGGGCAAAACAGGAAATGTAAACGTTGTCTTCGGCCAAAACTGACTCACGATGCCCCTGCCACAGTTCTCGGAAATCACTGAGCTTGAGGGCGTCTTTGCCACTCTCTGGGATGAAGGCGTATTCCATGACCACTGCGGGCGTCATGACTATTGGCTCCATCCTCTGATGTTTAATCTTCTGATGATAGTTACATCAAGCTGCATCTCTTGCCAGAAGTTTCAATCCTCTGACGCTGCCAGGAGCAACTCCGTCGGGCAGATAGGTCGAGGTTTGAAACAGAAAGAAGAAATACCATATGGCACATATATGGGTTGAACTGTCATTCCTCTGACCAAAAAGTTCCAATCCTCTGATGGTTCAATCCTCTGATGTTACCAGGGGCAACTCCTTTCAGCAAACAGGTCGAGGATTGAATATCGATTCGAAACCGCTCGTTGTTGAGCCAAATCATTCACTTGCAACTGCGCATTCATGATTGAACACCACTTCAAATTGTTAGACACTCAAATCGAATCAAACCTTATAAAAAAAATCGTATTGAGGTTCAATCACTGAAATGCCAACCTCTAGGTTAATATAACGAGACGATGCAACACACCGATCAATGTCAAATTGCTATGCGCAAAATCCACACGCTGCCCCGGATAGACCGAAACGAGCCTGCATGCCAAAGGCAGCTGCCGCTGCATTGGATCACATCCTTGGCCGGTGCAATGAGACCATATATAGACCAACAGATGGTCAATCTATAAGCAAAACCTGAAAAAACAAGTCAACAACTTGTACACAATGCACCCCAAAAGCATTGAACAGTCGATACTGGTCTATCAAAAACCACAACACAGATTGAGTTCATGCGCTCACGTCAAACGGCCTGAAAAATAATACAAACAAAAACCAGGACTCCTAAAATTCAATTCAAAACAACTCTTTGAACATGATGCCGAACCCACCCACTGTCTCGAATGACCCGAAGCGAGCCTGCGCGCCAAATTCAGGCAGCTGCCGCGGCATTGGATCACATCTTTTGGCCGGTGCAGTGGGACAATATAAAACAAATGATGGTCAATGTACTCAAGACCTGATCAAACAAAGAAGTCAACCTTTGTGAAGACCAAAAACCCGATTCAATTAATCATTCTTTTGAAGGCTTCGAAACCACAAAAACATGTGTTATTGTATATAGTTTGGTGACCTTTGGTGGTTCCCTGTTTACATGCCTGCGTGCTTGAGCGTCGTTCTGGCATCTACGGTGGTTCATTGTGAATATCCCATGTGTTTAATGCGCTGAGTACACGCCCACCAATCTGAATCCAATCAATATATGTATACGTGGAGCATCGAAACAAAATGTTTGGAACACATATGTTCGGAACACCGAAACAAAACCAAAACAAATATAGTACGTGTTTGAAACGTATGTATAAAGTACTGTGCTTACACATGAGGATGCGAGCACGTGTGGCCCGACACCACCTTGATCATTGAATTTAACATCAAAAAAACAAATTTTGATAACGATATACAAAAATATATCTTGATATATCTTATATATTCCACTTACTAAGTTCGACCGGTCGAACTTAGTAAGTTCGACTAAGTTCGACCGGTCGAACTTAGTAAGTTCGACATGTCGAACTTACTAAGTTCGACCTGTCGAACTTATAAACATAGATACTAAGTTGGATAACCTCAACTAAAACATATATCGAACTTACATATCTTAAGATAGTAAGTTCACATTAAGTAGATCATATGTTCGCTATCTTCGCGTTGGACTTACTAAGTGGTTATATCATCTTAGTAAGTACAGACAGGAACACAAGTGCACATAGGCAGCATAGAGGCGAACTTAACACGGTTGCAAGTTAGTTACCACATTTGCAACCAGCTTATACCTAAGTTATAGTCTACTTATATTCGGTTAGTAAGCTGGACAACGAGGCTAACTACTTACAACCCCAACCGCACATCCAAGTAGCGATGGCCTCCACCTTAGTAGCGATGGCCTCCACCCTAGTAGCGCTAGGGATGGCCTCCAACCTATTATAGCGATTGCCTCCAACCTACTATAGCAATGGCATACATTCTAATGGCGATGGCATCCAACCTAGTAGCGATGGGCTGCAACCTATACTGGCGATGTCCTTCAACCCACTAGCGAAGTCCTCCAACCTAATAGCGATGGCATCCAACTTAAGAGCGATGGCCTCCAACGTGCTAGGGGTGACATACACCAACCTACTAGCGATGGCCTCCAACCTAATAGCGATTGCCTGCAACCTAATGGCGATGTCCTCCAACCTACTAGC